TGTAACTCTCTATAGGATGTTTCACAAGCTGCTAAACTCTTTTTACTGATCTCATGAGAGGAAATACGGATGACCGCTGTTATAATCCGTACATTATTCATCATCAGTATTTATATAACTGAGCAGGAATTTTAAGTAAGTATGCGCTGTAGATCACGTTCAACGAATTCACTACTTTCCTTCACACGTTTTGCCGTAAGACGGCATTTAAATTTTTTCATTTTCAACTTATTTTCATTTATTTTATCAACTTTCCTCTTTATTGGTATTTACCTTATTCCTTCTTCCAGTTCCGTTCCTTCTTCATTTTCTCCAATTTAACTTGCCACTGTACCAGCCTCAGGCCTATTTATTTATTTCTCTTTTCATGTTATTGTTTTATAGCTCACTTTTATCCGTATTTCCATTTTTTCTACACTATCTTCTTTCTAATGCTTATTCACAATGTATTCACGTCTTCCTATGTCTTGCTTTTGTTCCTTTGGCATTCTCTGACAAGGTTGTAGCCTGTATCGAAAACTTGCGAGTTTCTGCTACCGACCTAATTTATGTAATCAGGTCGATCTGATGTGTGCTCGTATTTCATAACAATTAGCCTCTTTCGAAAACTACGTCCAAACTAACGTACCGTATACCTACACAACAGGCGGGCATCATGAAACTCGCTCTGTAAAGCCGCATACTGCAATATATTTTCCAGTATGTACCTGTTAACGTAATCCCCGTTAAATAATTACTGATAGCTCCTGGTCTAGACCGTCCTTCACGTTATGTAACAGGTGCATAAATTCAATTTTCGGAAGAAATATCTTCCGTGCCGGTATCCGTTCTGGAATTGATTTCTGAGTTTCATAAAAATGCAGCTGTAAATTGTAATGAAGACTTTCCTTTCCTGAAGCTACTACCATTACTGGAACAGGCAGCATATCTTGAGTGGGAGCCCTTGAGAACAGAGGCAGAAATCTCGAGTACCACAGCACAGAAACCAGCTGCTAGCTATCGATTGCTCGATATGAGATATCAAATCTCGAACTACAAGTCGTTCCTCCAGTCTGAAGAGGCATTGTTATGTTCTCCTATGCATCTCGTTACACTGTACAAAGACGAGACAAATATTGGCATGGGAATGATGACCTGATCATTCTCTAAAACAGGATTTGGGTTTCACATGGTGGTGAGTAGAAAGGTTGCAACCCAGGCGATGAAGGCTGCAAGGACCTCAGAAATACTGGTAACCATCTCAGCAGCTTTGTGTCTCTCGAAAACTCGACAGCAACATCAAAAGTCTAAGCGTGAGTGAGGACTTTATCTCTACGCGTGCTTGCTTTGTGACTAGGTAGTGTGTCTGAGTACTTACCGATGCCGGGGTCGATCTGGGTCTCCGTCTCGACGTTCAGACCGCAGCGGCTGAGGAACAGGAGAGACACCAGGCTGAGCGAACAGACGAGCAGCAGCAACCGCGTTAGAAGGCGCATTCCGAGCACTTGAAGCATCACCGCGCGGCGCTTTCTGCAACACACCGTCATCGGTTGTTTTTATTTTAACTGCGTGCGGTAACATAACACCTAGTGACAACAAATTATGAGGTCAGCACGCGCAGAACCGGTAAACAAACTCACTTTCATCGAAGGGCAGATATAAGATTCCCGCCTTTTGCGGCGACTCTGAAAGCATTAGAACTTCATTCATGTGTCGCAAAGCTGAAGCAATTACTTGTTTCAAATTACAGCACTACCGCAAATAGTTTGTCGCATGCAGTATTTCTTCATATTTTGCTTTCATAAATTATTTCCTGCTCTTTTCTATCTTCTCATTTCCTCCTCCATTCATTCCTTTCTTCGTTTTTGGCTTCCTAACACCTTCAGTTCATTCCTTCCCGATTTTTGTAATCCACCCTTCTTTACCATCTTTTACTTATTCATCCCCTATCTTCTTTAAATCAACCTTCGCTTCCTAAGTTATTTCTACTTATTTGTGTTCTTTTTTACTTTCCTTCTCCTTTCATCATCACTTTGTTCCTGACATATTTTCTTATTTTATTCCTTAAATTCATTCTCGCCCCCCTGTCTTCTTTCTTCACTTCACTCCTCCCTTCCTGCCTGATTTCCACCCACCCTGTCTTCCTATTTCCTTCCTCTTATCCCTGCGTATAAAAACTAGGCCCCTCTGAGAACCCACATTGGCGAGAAAACTTATTCCGGACATCACATCTCGTTCCTTGTGCTTTTGTGAGAAAATTGTCAGGAACACGCTCTTCATGACAACCTGCATGTCCTCATTCTACCCGCAAACCCACGAACGTCATTTCGCTCTAGGAACTCGGCAGGTAAATTGACAAGAATAAGACAGTCACCTAGTGTACTGTACAATTTATAACGCGGAGGAAATACAAATGCTGCTCCTTCTTCGACAGACACAACCTAACCTATGACCCCCCCCCCCCCTTCTCAAGAGTACTGAGTTACTTAGTGTCGGAGGCGTCTAGCATTCGTGTATTGTACATAGCCGTGAGCTGAGCTCCAGAGGATTCACGTGGCAGGATAGAGTTCAAGGCCACGTGGAATGCAAAATCGTCACGTAGAGCGACAGAACACCTTGTGGGAGAGGAGGGGCCACAGCAGAGCTTCAAAGAGACCGCTTCTGTCTTCCACTTCAAATACAAATGGTGTGGGGAGGACGTGAGAGGTCGCAGCTAGAGCGACACAAGTGGCATATGATAGACAATACACAGATACAAAAATCAAACGGGGGTATCAAACACAGATTACGACCCCCTGAGGAGACTATCAGGCGACAGGAAGATAAAAGAATTTACATAATGAAAGGCTTCACAAATTGGGACAAAGGAAAACACTGTAAAGACGTTAAAGAACAAAAAGTATAAAACATTTTAAGGTCGTAGGGAACAGATTGAATAATCAAAGTTCAAAAGCAATACAAACAAGTTAGGAAAGGAAATGAACCGAGTGATCAGCATCCGTAAACTAGATACTGTCAAATGTTTACCAAGTAAATAAAATATATAAGGGCTAAATACTTTCCTCGGCTGCCACAAATGTGATCCCCCCTATACTAAATAAAATGAACGTGGCACGACTTTCTTCGTACTAGGGAAATCAAGATTTATTTTTTTTTTATCTGCCATCAGACTGACATTTTGTGACTCTTATCGTCTCGTAGTAAAATGCTGAAAATGCATCCTAATCACAGCTTCCTTCCACGTTTATTAAAGGTGTTAATTTGTCATGTAATGCTTTCCACATCCTTTCGTATTTCACCACTCATAAATCATCATACTAGCCTCTATATTACTTTCGCATTTGAAGAGTCATTAAATAATGCAAGAATCATAAATCAATCTTCGTCAGTTTCTTTCACTATTAAAAGTGCCAAAATGAACACACACACACACGGTACTTCATGAAGTGGGATAACGAAGGCCTACGTTATGTCAAGAACTGTTTAAAAAAATTTATGTTCATATGACTACGATATAAGTCAGTGTTACGCGTTGCCAGTATGAAATAGCGTCAGATAAAGATGACAGGACACGTCCTGTCCGCCATCAGCGTGACAAAAGATCCTGATTTTCGATCCAGAGCGCGTAATTTTTGTTCTATTCATAAATTATTAGTCTCGTATGATTTATTTAAACTACGAGCACAGACGGAGAAATGTAGAAGGTAAATGCTGGGTCAACTGTATGAGCTTGTAAAAAGAAATGGAATTCAGATGACCCGTCACTTTCAGGCACCCCTTTTCTCTGTCATGATCTCGTTTCATTCAATCTCTGGAGCGCCGTCTTCCGTCCATACGATTTACAAAAATCTATATAGTTTATTAATAGCTTCCCCTGCTCTTGACGTGCATTTCCTAAATGGGATACTCTAAATTCTCTCAAGTATCAGTTGCTAGGAAATTACCCTCGTCAGCCAAGAGAATCAGAGCGGTAAGATAAATTGCAAAAGTAATTGTACTTTAGTCCGGTCAAATGGAATTAATAACTGGTGTAGTCAGATGATCTGCCACGGTGGTCTAGCGGTTAGAACGCTGGCCTTGTAATCCTGGGGTCTCGGGTTCGATTCCCGGCGGTGCCCGAATTTATAACTTGTGTTGGGCAAGGCCGTGGTCTAGGCAACACGGAGTTTTCCTCCGGGGACTTCCCCGGATTCTCCGTGGCATCCCAACAATTACTCCATTCACACACAGAAGAAGGCAACGGCAAACCACTTCTGGATCATCTGCCAAAAACACATGATGATAGCAACAATTATAAATCACACAGAAAATGTCGAAATAACTTAATTGCGTTCTCGTCGCCTTTAGATTCGACAGTGACGTCTGGAGCAAAGTCAGACGTTTCAGTATCAAAACCTATCATCACAAGTTCCCCTTAGACAGACGGCATCTTCTCCGACATCTGTATGTTTCCGGTAGTGGAGAAAAATATTACAAGGCGATGGTCCCAGCTTTATACGACTCCGGATAACTACGAAAAGTGACAAGAACATTTATCATGAACTACGGGAAGAAATATTTCAACCGCAATTACTGAACTTCTTGATCAAAATGTTGAGCGGGGGGGATGAGTGAAAATATAAAAAGAGTAACTTTTTTTTAAAAATTTATGGCAATCTGTAAGAAATACTTTTTAAAAAGAACTACTGTGCCGGCTTTTCTTCCTGCCTTCGAAAATATATTTCCTTCCTCTTCCCAAACAGTTTATGAAGCAAAATAAAGAAGATGGGTGAAGAAGATAAAAGTCCTAGAGACGTACCGAAACAACTTTGCTGGAAGAGGTGTCATGGTCTATCGAGTATAAGCTGATCTCAGGGGACTTTCCCAGCCAAAGGAGCAACGCGACGCAGACTAGTCCATACGTACTTGTTATATCCACTGCACCAGTGGCGTACTCATTCGAATCTCGTCACAAACTATATCGTATCTTTCCGTGGTTTTCTTCAGTTTCCTCCGAGAAAAAAAAATATAACCTTCAAAGAGGTTTGTTCCTTCATCATTCCAGCTCACTGTATACGTTTTAACAACACGTGATCAAACTACGAATTAACATCTTCAGCTGATAATACGTCAATAAACAGTTTAAAAACGAATGTTTACCACGAAAGACGAAGCACGAAGCCTACACTTTTACAACATTGAGCTGGCAAGACATTTTTGAATTGGTCACAAAGAGAAACGCTGGTAATCGAATAGACGACGCTCGTTCAACTGACGAGATTACATAGCGTCGAATTATATGTAAAGATAATCAAGAATAATCAGTGGGTAAGGAGTTATATAATAAAACTGGTGGTGTCCTGGGATTAGCTCGGAGATACTGAAAACACGAAGAAACTTCTAAAGAATAATAACAAGTAATCTGACCAAGATTCTAACCGGGTACAATCAGAACACAAATATAGAGAGTTACCGATGGGCGTAAATCGATTCGCAGTACGTAATCCCTTACTTTCCTGGTTTTATTGAAGCGATTACTGTACTGGCGGGAATTTAAATGGCACAAGAAACGAGAAACCTCGGAAGCTCACGTCAGCGTACACCATGAATCCTTAATGACTGGCTTGTCATGCTCGGCAACCAGTCCTAATACAGTCTTCTAAGAAGCTGGGGATAATATGCACTAATGGAGACAGAAGACTGTATCATTTATTAACGTTCATACTAGAAAGTTTATAAGCTGTCATACTTCATCTTACAGAATCAGCTGTTACGATGAAACATTGACTTGCCTTCTTACAACCTCTTTCTTCTATGTGGCACCATTGCACACCTTACCTTCTTTTAGAGATATTTCCCAAAGGGTGAAAAGAAAATATCAATTTTTGCTTTCAATTCCTTTCTTTACCTCCGTTCCACTTTTATTCTGTGTAAGGCTACAAGCCGAAGACATTCTACTGCCAACACCTTCGACCATAATTTGTTCTGTTTTATACTTATGCCAAGATCACGAACTCAAAAAGAATAAAACAATACAAAAACACAAGAAACGTGCTACTGTACTGAACATACATATTTATTTATGATATATATTCAATTTTTGTATTGTTTCTATTCTGACGTTGTTCTGCCACGGTTATGAAATAAACTTAGTTTCTGGCACTGAATTTTTCTGCGTCTCTCCCAGTTTTCCATCGCTTTTAATCTCGCTGCTGATTTACATTCAATTTACTCGCTGAAACTAGCTGGTACATCTGAAAGATTAGGCGAGTTCTAATATTCTGTACTATATATTCGAAACTTCCATATTGTTTCTTTACCCAGAAGTTGGATCAAATAATAACATCAGAGAAGCTTACAGCTCCCATCATCATCGCTCCGAGTTCAAACGGCCGACATTTTATAGTGTCGAATGAAACAAATGATGATTCGAAAGAAGATGGTAGTGGCCTACTTCAAACAACCTAACCAAACATCTGCTTGGAGAAATTAAGGAAAATCACGAATAACTTTATTCAGGATGGCCGGGAACTAGGCTAGCTGATTACATC